TTTTTCCAGTGTATTCTRGTAGACCAAAAAGWGAAGAAMATTCGTTTACGCTTGAGCGGCCTGCGWAGGAGAATTTTTTAGTGTGTTCACAGCTCAAACTACCAAAATGCTCAATACATGAAGAAATTGTCACAAATTACAAAAACACAACGCATCCAGTTAAGTTAATTTCTAAACCTAGTATTAAAAACTGACCAGCAGTCTGTTATATTTTACCTATTGTATGTACCTACGTAGGATTCTATGTTATAAGTATAAAGCTACTTAGAAAGCGTCGAATACTGAATACTGATACGGTATATTGTATTCCAAAGCCGAACTGCATTATCGCTGCTCTATCGCTGTTAAAAAGCAGTTTTCGTGACATATTTCTAACGGTTAAAGTAATTAAATCAAATAGTAAAGTAATGTCAAAACAAAACTAAGACTGGATGTGAATTAAAATCGGCAAATGTTCAAGTGAAGAGACACACCAAAAAAAGCTTTCAGTTGTTCTTACTAGAACTATTCCAGTCAACAACAATTTCTTGTACGCTCTCATTGGTGGAGAGTCGAACACGTGACGCCATAGTACGCGCCGCGGAGGGCTACTATCCGTGTGCACAGAATCAGCCGATTCAGAAAATTTTGATTTTGAACAATAAAAACAATAGAGCAGTTGAAATCTCGGGCATTTTGTTGTGATAGTTGCCCTTGGAAACTGGATGTTTCTCAAAACTTCATAATTGCCCCCGAACTGCGTTTTCGGGCAACTATTTGCTTTTTGGAACATCGAGTTTCCGCGGGCAACTATCACAGCATAATGCACTCCATTCAACTACTCTGTTGTTATAATGGAAACTCGAAAAATATCTTCTAATGTTTAATTAGAGGGCAAAAGTGCAGTTAGAGTAATCGTACTTAAACCGTGCAACTGTGCAAACTAAAGAGTGCTGTTTAGTTGTATTTAGTATATTCGTGCATGCGGTACGCAAATTAAATCGAATTGATACAAATAAAGCATTCAATACTACTTCAAGTCAACTTTTAGTACAAAAAGTACTACTTAAATTGGTTTTGTACAGTTGCATGGTTTAACTGTGATCACACTAATGCTTGATTAGAGGGCAAAAGTGCAGTCGCTAAAAACATTGAAAACTTTAGCAATTAAATAGTGCTAAATTGTACTGAATTATGCAAGTTATTTTGCTTTTTTATAAGTCTAATCCACGTTATATATAGCGCTATATACCAACACTTTGCAATTGTACCCAAAGCTTCACAGCTGTCAAATGAAAATCACTTTTAAGAAACATGGTCCACCGACATCTCTTACGAGAYTTTGTTTATGTATGAAAATATGAAAAATACATCGTAATATAAGCAAGAAAGAAAGGAACACCAGGCTGCTGTACGATTGGCAAAAACTGAAAACTCAGCATTAGCTCAGCATGCCACCTCTACAGGACATCGATTGGCGATTGATTTATTGCGCTTTTTGTTTTGATGGTGAAGTTTTTATGTTATTGTAACGAGATTCATTGTAACCCTGAAGAYGACCGCGTAGGTYGAAAGCTAGGWTTTAKTTTATTRAACACCAAGGTTGATGCAGCAAAGTACACTATGATGAATGGAGATATTGCAAGACTCGAGTCTTCAAACTGACGGATGGAAACAGRTTGTGAATGAATATTTCAATTCAATAACGAAAAAACTATAASAAGGCCGAATTTAATGCTGGTTGACCATGGTCCTTCAATTAATATTTACATCGAGACCTTGTATGGCCCTTTCCCAAAATGTTGATTCTGTAGAACCAATGCGAGGCTTTGGCTAGGTCAAAACATTTTCTCATGCACACAAATGATGTAGAAAGTTGCTGTGCAAGAAAGAACGTTACACTTTGATAATCATATTTTGGCTGCAAAGTATTTACTACAAACTTACATGTTTTCTGTCGAATGMTATTTAGGCTCTGCATCCACAGTTTTCATAACGATTTATCTTTTTTTTAATGAAAAAAAATCCTGAATAGGCATGACAAAGTCGAACTTTTCCCTTTGAATTTTTGCTTGCTCACCAATTTCATTGTGAAGACGAGAAAATGTGACCTAGCCAAATCCTTGCTTTGGAGTGAAGAACCAACATCTTGGGAAAGAGCCCTAGCCTGATTCAGAAGTGCCTGGGTCCGAAACCTGGGGGGAAAGCGTTAGCGTCGGACCCAGCACCGTCTGAAAATCAGGCTACCGTTTAATGCCTTGGTTCAGTAAAGGTCAGTAGGACTTTTTCTTCGTTAACTGTCGAGTTTCGACTTTTGCTATAAATTGCTTATATACRATGTATAAAATATTATGATAAGCTCTACACACAATCTCACTTGAAAGGAATCCAATGACCATACAATATAGATTTGATACTCTCGTATGTTACAAACTGTATGCCAACTGCAGGAGCAACCTTAAGCAAATGAAAAAAGAACAAAATAAAATAAAATATAARTAATAAAGAGGCCATTCAACCCAYGAAACAAAATTTAGCTTTAGAGTCAACGAATTAGCCAAACAGACACAAAAGAAACAAATGAAATACTCCACTTTCAAATTCAAAGTGCCAGTAACCGCTGTTTTATTTGACAACAGATTCTCTTATGCAAAGAACTTACTAGACAAAAAACAAAACACGAAACAATGTTGCTATTACAATAGAGTTGGAAATTTGCATTGTTTTCGAACCATGTATTCCCAAATGGCATAAGGTTTAAAACTTCTGGGAATAAAACGTTAGCCTCAACTCGTGGAAAATGAAAATTGTTAGSGCCAAATCTCATGTTTTTGGTAACTAAAGGTCTTTGCTCAAGAGAATGTGTTGGCAAATAAAACTGCTCTATTATTTGCTTTGAATTCAAAAATAAAGTATTATAGTGAATAAAGGTCTCTTACGTTTTAACATTACTCTTAAAAGCCAATAAAATAAAAGCAAGAAAAAATAATCAGATAGAATGCAAGAAAGAAAGAAAGAATGCAAGAAAAAAGCATACAATAGAGCTTTTTGAGAGTGCAGAACCTGAGTGAAATAATGATCAAATAATATGTAGTGTTCAACAAATGCTGATCGTACAGTAAGTATTCCCAATGTTACCTTAATTAAATTAGGTACAATTCCTTTGTATAATCCTTTGATTCCTTCATTTTKTACTATACTTTTAAAGGCATGTGCTGTGGATTTGTAGGCAAATTCAGCCTTTTTCAGTCCTTTCATTTGCATCCGCCGTCGCACAACATCTAATGGATAAGTCACTAAAATAAACATGTATTTAACAAGATTTAGTATAACAAATTAATCATCAAAATTTCAATGCACCCTCTTTTGTGCATTAAGAATGATTGACCAAGTGCGAGACTAGCCAGCCATGACCATGACTGACAGACTGATTGGGTGATTGACTGGTTGATCGATTGATTGGCTGGTTGATTGACTGGTTGATTGACTGGTTGATCAATTGGTTGACTGGTTGATCGATTGATATTTGATTGATTGATTGATTGACTAGTTGATTGATTGATTGGATGGTTGATTGATCAATTGACTGACAGATTGGATTGCTGATTGAGTGATAGACTTTGACTAACTAACTGACCGACTATATTATTGATTCTCGCTTTCAGAGAAAATGCCACATTGACCAATTAATTAGTTATTGATGAACTGAGTGATTGACAAGTTGATTACAACAGACTAATTTCTTGATTGTGATAACTTATGTCTGATTGACTAGCTAAATATATGAATAATTCTGAAAAACAGTGACAGTGGTTTGATTGACAGATGAGATATTCTAAAATACCTGATTGGGATACTGCTCCTGCGACAGAGCCACACATCAACTTAAATCTTATCGGCARCTCATGGTCCTTTTTTATTGTTTTTAGCTTTGTTCCTTGAGCTGATGCTACATGACTTGAAAATATAAACCCTGAAAATAAACAACAGATATCAATAAAAACATATAGACTGTATAATACTATATTGAATAAATGATCAAAATGAATAATTATAATTATATACTATCTTAAGTTATCAGTAAACCAGACACTTTTGCTACCTTAGACTATCAGTTAACCAAACTTTATTGCTGTGTAGGTCAATAACATAACAAGACATTATTGCCGCCTAAGTCAGACAGTAAACCAGACATTATTGCCGTCTAAGTCAAATAGTAAACCAGACATTATTGCTGTTTATAAAGTCAAACAGTAAACTAAACGCTTTGCCGTCTAAGTCAGATAGTAAACCAGACACTTTGATGTCTAAGTCTAAGTCARACAGTAAACCAGGCACTTTGCCGTCTAAGTCAGACAGTAAAMCAGACATTCAGTGCYGTCTAAGTCAGACAGTACACCAGACACTTTGCYRTCTAAGTCAACCATAATATTTTCATGCTTGCCATTATTCTAAACTAAATGACTTTCTTTTTAAGTACAGATAGAGCTGGAATAGTCACTCTGAAACAATGAAAACCCCTTACTTAGAACTATGATATGACAACCAGCAATGCACTGCAGTATTTACATGTAATTATACTATCCTGCTTCTAAAATGTATTTAAGACTCATGAACATCAAAGGAATTACCTTTCAGAGTTTCATACACAGCAAAATTGATTCCTACATAAGGTGCAATCCCCTGAAATGTTTTGACAATAAAAAGTAAGTCAAACATAAATAAACAAATTCTAGAATATGTGATTATATCAAAATGATGAAAATTTAATTAATGATTAATATTTAAATTAATGAGCAAAAATTATTTAATCTGTTAAATAAGATTATAGCAAATGATGGAATTAAATCTGATATGTTCATACAGTAATACATTGACAGTTACAAATTTGTCTTAATACAGTCAACTCTCTCGTAAGCGACCACCT